CGAACACTTCTGAAAACCAGACCCTGTTTCCCCCCCTTCTGATACCTATCCCCTCAGGCAGGCTGTAACACAGGTTTATAACACTTTGAACACTCAGATCAGGGTAGTAAGGCAAGAACCCTGCTATTTTAAAACCCCTTGTGTTTAAATGTAGCTAGCAGAGTTCTGCTCCTAGTAAGGGCAGGACCAATATTTCCCCACTATTAAGCTACTTCACTGAATCTCTCTCTGTTTTGCAGATAGGAGTTTCTATCCATAGGGATCAATGCTGTGCTATTCAGGCTTATTTCAGAATAGCAGCTGCGTTAGTCTGTATTCGCAAAAAGGAGGACTGCCACAAGTACTCCTTTTCTTTACTCAGGCTTAGAGAGACATCAGCCAGTTCAATATATAATTCCATCAGTGGCCAGGATGGCTGAGTGGACTAGTGACAAGACCAGCAACCTTTCTGCTCTAGATCATGTTGCATTCTGTCACTACGGTCCTTGGTATCCGTGATGGCTGATCTATGGGAAACGAGTCTGTGATCTCACGTCTAGCTCCTGGTATGCAGAACACATTCATAACTGATGATCTTGGCACTTTCAGAAGGAGACACGACTTGAGGGAGTTCAGACTGCTCAGCTCCTCCAAGTGAAGCTCCAGGCAGAGCGCCGGGGCAGCACGGTAAAGCTAGCATTGCCTCCAGCAGGCCTGTTTCAGTCACGAGGTCACTGTGACTCCTTTGCTGCCAGTCTGGCATCCTTCAAACCTCGGATTTACTTAAACTCACAACCTCATCTCGTGTCACCTTTTTTCTTTTTGAATCACACTATTTCTAACTGCTTCGATGCCACCTCATGATAGTGACGATTCTGGGAAATAAAATGCACAGCAATCTAAACACTCCTTAAAGTTATGAATAATTGTTCTTGTTCATATTCCATTCCCACAGTTACAGAGGCTATCAGTTCCTATATTAACCAAAATACCTAATCTTTGTTTCCCCAGACGACCCGCATTGGGACTTCGTTCATGTTCTCATGAAGAATGTTCCAGAACTCTTCTTTGGTACATTCTAAAAAATATATATATTTTCAGGAAGGAAGAAAAATTAGTGTGAAAGACATGAACTTTGTTCCATTTAATGCTATTGTCCTATATCCAGGTGTTCTGTATATGGAATATTTCCATCTGTGTACAAGTTACATGTACTATTATAGTCAGTGACTTTTTACAGGACCTGTTGGTATGGTTCTTTCTGCCAGAGAAGCTGAGTTCTATTATTGCTCTTATGTATTAGGTAGCATTTGTTATGTATGATTCACACATCAACAAGCCCTGTCAGGATCTACAAATAAATGTCCTGTGTATTCTGATACAATTCACTTGTATCAGAAACAGAGCAAATACACACAGCCAGTCCTGGCACATCTGGGAGGTAAGGGCTGCTGGCTGGAATGGGATTATCATTAACTGTAGTTCTTAAAAAAAAAACAAACAAACAAACAAAAAACAGCTCTGTTCTTCTGATCCCTGTGTGTTGAATGATGTAGCTGGTTTATGTGACACGATAACCCCCCTCATGGCCGGAGGTCACTTTGCAAGCATTTTGCTTTTGTTTCTCCCCCTTTTCAGGGCCCCCTTGAGACTTGCACACAACCTTTTCACATGGAACAACCCCCCCAGCCCGGGACTCTTGCTCTCTCAAAGGATCAAGCATGGATACTCCAAGCCAAAACCAGCTAAAGAGTACCACAGAAGCTGACACTGAGAGAACAGAAGACAATAGCCATGCTCCTGCTTTGTCTGCCTCACAATGCAAATAGAGCTATTATGAAGACAAAGACTAAATAGCAAACCTCTCAAAAACAAGAAGCGCAAACTGGACCCGATGTTTGAGGAGCTGGATGTAGCTTGCCTTCCATGATGCTTTTTAGGAAATTTGAGAAACAAGTTCAGAAGGAATGGGTCAGAATATCCATAGGCACTGCTGTTGTTTCAGAGACTACTGATGGCTGGCGGTTCCTCAATGAGTCTGCATAGGATCAGTTCAGTAGATGCTAGGATTCAAAAAGTTAAAGCTTAATAAACCATCAAAACACATATTGTCAGCATTACCTGTCCCCACAGACAAAGTAAATATCCTATATCAACAAATCACACCTGTTTTTACTGTTCCTTCGCTAGGCCATTTGCCACAAGCCTAATTCAAAAGATGAAATCGCTGGATTGTGACTCTAATCAAGCAGCGTTTTTCTTACTTTGCCTCGCTGTCAATTTTGATTATCATCAATGTAAGTATTTTTTCATCAGTTTGTGTGTGTACAGTGAAACAGATGCCTATAGACATTTACTGATAAAAAGCTACTCTTTCCAAGCCTAGATACATTGAGCCATGTGAGACGGTTACCCTTTCATTGCGCAAGCCCACTTTGAATTCCGCATTGCTATCTGATGTTTACAGATGGAATAGCCAAAAACTTTAGCCTTAGGAATTTTCTGAATGACAGCTCAATGACTGTGTTAAATTTGTCATTGGTGATGATTACCATCATGAGGTGTATATAAAAGACAACACCGTGGGATGTGAACTAAAGAATAGTTTCTGTATTCTTGCTGACTAGTGCTAGACTAAAGATTTAAGTCCAGTGTGTGTTCATCTACTCATGTGAGGGGAGGTCCAGAAATGGGCTAGGTCTACTCTTTATGTCCTGCAAACCTGCACTCACCTGCATAATTCCAATAAAGTCAGTGAGTACTCATATGTGTCAGGGTTTGCAGGACTGGGCCACATGTCCTTTCCAAGATTGGAAAGATTGACCAAAGTACTAGCTGCAGTTCAGAAGACAAGCCCAAACCAAACTCACCAACAAATCAATCCCAGGAACGCCATGCTTAGAGACCTTCTCCCACATCAAAGTTTAAAAGAGCACCTGCAATGGACACAGCAACACCTTCTCTATCCCCTCCTGTCTCTGAGGGAACTAGTTTTAAAGGATCCCTCAGGTGTGATAGGCATGTGAGTGGCTTAGAGCACAGGTCCTGATAGCAACAGCAGCACTTGTTATAGAGAGGGCTGCAATGGCGGAGTAACAGCAGCAAAGTCAGTGGACAAGCCAGCAGTGTAGGGTCCCCAGGACGTTTGTAACATAGTAGATTAGAGGGCAGGTAGCGGCCATGGTGCAGGAACAGTTTCTAGGCAGTACCAGTAGCTTCTGCTTTTTTGTTTTAAACAACCCAGTTATGGGAAATTTAAAAAAAGAAGCAGCAGCAGCAGCTCCAACAAATGCAGCTTTGATCCTGTACCATGTTAATGAACATGGCAAGTCTGTGCAGGGAATTTTAATCACTAAGTGTCCATACCCATGCAATGCACAGCTCTCTCCCTGTGGAACTTGGGCAGGGAGGAAAGCTCATTATAACATATGAAATGTTAGATGCAGCATTTGCTGGGTAGCACGCATTGTCGTTAAGGTGGTTGTGACTTTCATCAGGCTGAAAACTCCAATTCTTAAGAGTTCACAGCATTCCAATGAATTTCCCTTTGAGTCTGGCATTTTCCACACTCTGTCTCAGCCCAACGGGCGAACTTTTTAGAATATCTTTTCACTTGTTTTTACTTTAAGGTGAAAAACGACAGTAGCTGCACTCTGTGAAAATGCTAAGATACTTTGTGTATCTGACTCATGGATGTACTTTAAATTGGCAATTTTACGGATGCCTAGCCCTCACTGAGGCCAGTCTGAATATCTATCTGTTTTAAAATCACCAACCAATAAGCGTTTAAACAACTCAAGTTCTGCTTATACATGTTATAGTCTCTCTGTAACATCCAGAGTGATGAAACTGTCTACAGAACTAATGGTCGGAGCAGCTCTCTACCCAGAAAGTGCTTTAGGACTTCAGGGCACCCTTTACCTTCGTGCAAAGCAGTAGTACAGGGCCTGTGTGCATAATCCCTGTGCTGGAGCTCTGCACAAAGTGAATTCCACCCTCAGCACACAAGATCCTGCTCCGCAGCCAGTCAAAGGGCTACCGGGAGGAGAGGGAAGGTGGAAGTTGAGGCAGGGTAGATGCGGGGCGGGTGGACGGCAGGACCAGGTTTTCAGCATGAGGAGCCAAGACACGGGCACTGAGCTGTGTGCACAGGAGGGCACTGGCAGCAGCGGACCAGAGGCGAGAAAAGTCCCGTCCCCGGCAGGTGCCCAACGCCTTCCCTGCCCTCGCTCCCCCTTTCCGAACAACAGGGAGCAGTTACAGCAAACGGGGCTCCAGTAACCCCGGTGCCGAGGTGAGGCGCCCCGGGAGGCGAAGAACCAGGGGGGAGGCGACTCCTGAGGCCTGGCGGTGGAGGTAGGAAGTGGTGGTTGATTTTCTCTCGCCCGGCTCCTGTTTCTCCCTGGGTGTATTTTCGACCCTGCGCCCTTCCTCCGAAATGTCCCTCGGCTCTGCGCCGGCCCTGAGCCCGGGCTCCTCTCTCTTCCCGCCTCCGCCGGTCCCAGAGCCGCCATTTTGTGCCCGCCCCCCGCGCCCCGGGCGCCGCGCTGTCCAGTCACTTAGCAGCCCCGCAGGTGGACCCCTGGACCCCGGCCCGCCTCGCAGGCAGCCGCCCTGGGCCGGGCCGGGCCGGGCAGGGCCGCGAGCTCCGCCTCTCCCCGGGGAGCCGTGCACAGGGCGCCCCACCGCGGCGGGGTCGGATCCCCATGGCAACGCGGCGGCCTGAGGGGGAGGGAGCCCAGCAACCGTGACCAGGCCCCAGCGGCGCGCGGCTGGGGAGCATCGCGCACGCGCAGAGCCGAGTCGACCCCTCCCGCCGGGCGCGCCCCGAGCTGCGACAGTAACAAAGGTGCCGCCCCCGCTACTCCCCGGAAGCCCCAACGTAGCGCCCAGCCCCCTCTCCGGCTTCTCACTGGCCCCGCTGGGCCGCCGTAGGGGGCGGGCCGTGTCGGTGGCTCTTATTGGCCACGAGGAGGAGGAGCTGCTCGCTGATTGGTCGGTGGGGCTTCTCCCCTCAGAAAGCGGGCGAGGGGGGCAGCGTGTGGGTTTGGGAACGCTGGAAGCGCGGGGTCGCTTCGGTTCGGTTCGCTTCGGTTCGGTTCTCACCCACCCTGTTGGCCAGGCCTTGCGAGGGCGGCGAGCGCCTGTGACCCCGCGCCTCTGTGGCGCGCTCCCAGGCCGGCCCGGCGCTGCGCATGCGCAGAGCTCGCAGCCCCGGCGCGCGGCGGCGGACGGGCCCCGTTGGCGCGGAGCCCGCCGCGCCAGGAGCTGCGCCCGCCGCTGGCTGCAGGGGGAGGCTCCGGCACCGGCGGGACCCGCTGGGCTCCGGGGCCCGCGGACAGCCCGCAGGGTAACGGGCGCTCACCGCTCTGGCGGGCTCGCGGGTACGGGCCAGCCGCAAGCCTTCGCCGCCGCTCCGCGGCCTGCTCGGTCTTCCGTCCCGGGTCCGCGCGTGGCTCGCATGGCCCAGCTCGGGGGCGGGAGGGGGGCCACGCCCGCGGCGTTTGAAAGAATCGTTTTCAAGAACGCTTCTGAGCACCACTACGTGAAGGTTTGCTTGTAAGTTCGGCTCCACCCCCCCCCCCCCCCATTTTTGACCACCACGTCCCTTTTGAGATGCATAGACCTGAATAATCAGGCTCCGTGTGAACGTTGTTCGTTTCAGAGAATTTCAAGAAGGTGGAGTTAGATTGAACGCTGCTCATTTCAAGCAACTTATCCTTTCAGCACTGAAGGAATTACATGGGGAGGTACGGGATCATTGACTGTGTGACTGACGATTGCGCTTTTCTGAATTCCTTGTAAATATAACTTCATGGATTTGTTTGTTTAGGGGCCAGAAGCAACCATTAAGAGAATCTAGTTTCTAGTCTAAGCTCCTGCATAATAATGGCCAAAGAGCTTCCTCTAATAATTTATGCATCAAGCCCATACCTCTGGTTTGAGTTGAGCGTCTCTCTCAACTTGAAGACTGCACATGATGGAGAATCACTAAATAAATAGTGCTGACTTTTAAAAAACCATGATCTCAAATGGAACGTCTAGGAGAGAGTGCTGGTGAATGGCAGAGGCTGATATTTCTTCACCTTAACACCTTGTTCTTTATTTACTATGCTATGATTACATTTAAAAAAAAATCCGTAGACTTCAGGCTGCTTTTAACAATGGTAGTAAATGTTACAATTCTTCTGTTTCAGTAGGCAAATATATGAAAATCCCATCTTCACAGCAGTTCTGATGTGTATTCAAAGTTTTCTGAACCCTGAGGTTTCTTGTGCTGCATGCATGATTCATCTGACCTAAAATTAATTTTAGCAGGGCAAAGAATTTTGACTAATTGACTTCTTAGTGTGGAAGCTGTTTCACCCCAAATTGCAAACTAGTGATTCTGGAAGATCTCTGAAGCTAAATGGTCAGGCTGGGTCAGTATGTGGATGGGGCCCCTCAAAAGATAACCAAGATTCTCTAGGTTTGTGGTCTAATGAGTGATTCCAACTCATCCTTTAGAAAACATAATTTAGTGAATAGTATTATCCAAATTAGAATTACTAATAGAAAGTCAGAGCTGAAACTAAGCAGAAAGGAGGCTTGGTTCATGGGACATAAAGGGAAAGGAAGAAACCATTTAAAATTATTTCCCTCCTGCTCCCTCAGAGCCCTTCTCTCTCTGCTTTCTGCTGTTTCATAGACTTTGGCTTTTAAGTTCAAGAAACTGAAGTAGGAGCCTTAATGTACCTCCTATCAGCCTGGATGCTGCTTTCAGTGCTATTTGACACTCACTGATCTGGGTGTGAAAACAGCCATTTTCCTTTAAGTCCTGGTATCCCTGTTCCTGCTGCAATGGAGCTTCAAAGGGAAAACAGCAGGAGGGAATATGGCCTGCTGGACTGGAACTCAAGAGGTCCTAGGTTTTATTCCTGGCTCTGCCACTGATTTGCTGGGTGAGGTGGGGCAAGTCCTATCACCTCTTTGAGTTTTGCCAGCTGTAAAATGGTGATGATGATTTTTGCTTCCTTTGTAAAGTGCTTTGAGATCTGTGAATGAAAAGGGTTATAAAAGAGCTGGATATTACAAAGTTGCTCTAATAATAAGAATTTTAGCTGGAGAACATGGAAATCATATGTTCATAAACTGCTGTTAAAGCCGTGAATAATATTGATTTAACAGTAGTGCCCTATTGGTGCATAGGTTGGTGCAGCCTTGCCTGTTGATGTCTTAACATATGAGGAAAAGACCCTGTCTGCAATACTAAGAGTTTCTAGCAGGTAAGAGACACTGATTGCATATACAGTACTCGCAAGTACCAACCTGGAATTGTGTAAGATGTGTAAATAACCTTTAATTTGAAAATAACTCGCTTACAACTTCTGACAGTTTCCTATCAAAATAAGGGAGAAAATAATAGCTGTGATTTCTTAGAAATGCAGGGCTGGAAGGGACCTTGGAAATCCTTCAAATCCAGCCCTGCGCCGAGGCAGGACCAAGTAAACCTAGACCATCCCTGACAGGTGTTTGTCCAACTTGTTCTTAAAAACCTCCAGTGATGGAGATTCCACCACCTTCCTTGGAAGCCTGTTCCAGTGCTTAACCACCCTTCTAGTTTAGAAAGTTATTTCTGATATCTAACCTAAATCTTTCTTGCAGCAGATTAAGCTCATCACTATTACTTCTATCTTCAGTAGATAGGGAGAACAGTCGCTCACTGTCCTCTTTATAACAGCCCTTAACATAGTTGATTGTTATCAGGTCTCCCTTCAGTCTTTTTTTTCCCCCCCAATACTAAACATGCCTGTTTAATGTTTCCTCCTGGGTCAGATTTTCTGAGCCTGTTTGTCTGTTGCATTCTTTGACAGGATAACAAGCCTTGTAGATAGTGGGGAAGCGGTAGATGTGATATATCTTGACTTCATTAAGGCTTTTGATACTGTCTTGCATGACCTTCTCTTAAACAAACTAGGGAAGTACAACCTAGATGGAAGGGCATATTGAGTGGGGCCTCGTAGGGATCAGTTCTGGATCCAGTTCTGTTCAGTATCTTCATCAGTGATTTAGATGATGGCATAGAGAGTACGCTTATAAAGTTTGTAGACAATACTAAATTGGGAGGAGTTGCAAGTGCTTTGGAGGATAGGATTAAAATTCAAAATGATCTGGAGAAGCAATCTGAAGTAAATAGGATGAAATTCAATAAGGACAAATGCAAAGTACTCCACTTCGGAGGAAACGATCAGTGGCGCACATAAAAAATGGGAAATGACTGCCTAGGAAGGAGTACTGCGGAAAGGGATCTGAAGGTCATAGTGGATCACAAGCTAAATGAGAGTCAACGGTATAACGCTGTTGCAAAAAAGCAACCATCATTCTGGGATGTATTAGCAGGAGTATGGTAAGCAAGACACAAGAAGTAATTCTTCCACTCTACTCCGTGCTGATTAGGGCCTCAACTGGAGTATTGTCCAATTCTGGGTGCCACATTTCAGGAAAGATGTGGACAAATTGGAGAAAGTCCAGAGAAAAGCAACAAAAGTGATAAGTGTAGAAAAACATGACCTGTGAGGGAAGATTGAAAAAATGTTTAGGCTGGAGAAGAGAAGACTGAGAGGGGACACAATAAGTTTTCAAGTATGTAAACAGTTGTTACAAGGAGGAGGGAGGAAAAATTGTTCTCCATCATTGGAGATTTTTAAGAGCAGCTTAGACAAACACCTGTCAGGGATGGTCTTAGATCAGGGATTCTCAAACTGTGGGTTGGGACCCCATTTTAATGGCGGTCACCAAGGCTGGTGTTGGCCCTGGGCCCAAGCCCCACCGCCCAGAGCTTCAGCTCTGGCCCCCCCAGCCTGGGGCAGCGGGACTTGGGTGGGCTCAGTCTTCAGTCCCCCCCCCTTCTGGGGTCATGTAGTAATTCTTATTGTCGGAAGGGGGTCACAATGCAATGAAGTTTGAGAACCACTGTCTTAGATAATACTTAGTCCTGCCATGGGTGCGGGGACCTGGACTAGGTGGCCTCTCGAGGTCCCTTCCTGTCCTACGATTCTATGATTCTTGTGTGTTTCTGGGATGTATGTGAATGCTGTTTAGTGATCACTCAGGAGTTTTTTGGTTTTTTTCCCCCCTAATTGTGCTTGAATTTCAAGAGATACCTAGGGGGGGCACATGGCCCAGGATTGGTAGAAGCTTCAGCCTTCACTGATATAAGACAATCCATTGCTGAAAGAGGGACCTTTCACTCTCAGTTATCAAGTGGCTGCTTAAAAGTCTGGAGGAGGACACTTATAGCCTTATTGGCCTCTAGAGAGTCTGTACTGTACTCTTTTACTGCCCTCATCACCATGGTATCTGAGAGCCTTCCAGGAGTGCATTAAATGGCATGGTTTATTCTCTCTCATCCTCTCCTTGGGGAAAATTATGTGTATAGCATAGTGTCTTTTGTTGTGGATTTTAGAATGTACACGCGGCTACATGTTAGAGAAAGCAGGTTGAATAATGTGCCTGGCACCTGGCGTGGAAGATAATTAGTTGTGGAGCAAAACTGTAAATGATTCATCTCCATTTCAAAAAGCTATGTGAAATGCCTTTTTAAGGTGTGAAATCGAGTAACTGGCCTTTTAGAGCAGTCTTTACATCCCTGTTATCTTTCAATGTTAATACACAAGTATTAACAAGTACTCCTTTTCTTTTTGCGAATGCAGTTTCCACGGTATGCATCTGATGAAGTGAGCTGTAGCTCACGAAAGCTCATGCTCAAATAAATTGGTTAGTCTCTAAGGTGCCACAAGTACTCCTTTTCTTTTTGCGAATACAGACTAACACGGCTGTTCCTCTGAAAAATGTTAATACTGTGAGGTCTGCCTAATTTAGGTCTTGCTCAGGGGTGTGAAAAAACACCCTCCTGAGCGCAGCAAGTTGCAGTGCTGTAAAGCGCCAGTGTAAACAGTGCCCCGGTGCTGGGAGCTATGGTGGGATTTTTTAGGGCGCTGCGACCACACAAGGCAGCGAGGGGTGTAGCTCCCAGCGCTGGTACAGCGTCTACACTGGCGCTTTACAGTGCTGCGGTTGCTGTGCTTGGGTGTGTTTTTTCACAGCCCTGAGCAAGGAAGTTGCAGTGCTGTAAATTGCCAGTGTAGACAAGCCATAAGAAAAATGATAAAGCACTGGGAATCAAAAGAGCAGTAAAAAGGCAGACTAAGAAACCACCTCAAACACAACAAATTTCCATTGGCATTTGTGGGTTTCAACTATTTTCTGACTCTGACCTTAAAAATGTGACAGGTCCAGAATAGTTAAGGTGACACTGGTCTAAAAAGTGACACAGATGTGTAAACCTCACAACGTCTTGACACATCTTCTTGTGTGTAGTCCTGTCTGCTGCATTTAGTTACAAAAGTGAGTGTTCAGTACTAGTTACATCTGCAGAGCCAATGCAAGTTAGAGTGACTTGGAGAGTGTTACTTGTGCATCAACAGAACTGGTTCCTGCTGTGGTTAATCAGCTGACAGCAGTTGGGTTGCTCAGGTGGCACTGAAGGGAAAATTGGGCCCACAGAATCTCTTACTGATGACCATGCATGACCTAGAAAGAACCCAGCTTGACTTTGCTAGGCTGAGTATGCAGGGCTGGAGGTTAAAGACTAAAACATCTTTTTACTTAAATTGAGCAAACTTGATGTGTACTCAATGAGACGATAAACATGGATCCATATATATGGTTCCTGTCTTAAAACATAAAATGACCAGGTGTGGATGATGCAGTACTCAAACCGGTGTCTGTTATCCCTTGCTGTGGGAAAAGGTCAGGAGCAGTTGGGAGATTAGGGAACTAAAGATGAATGGAAGCTATTGGGGGTGGGGAAGGGAAGGAGATTAGAGGAATGGGAAGAGGGGTTCAGGAAACAAGCCCAGAAAAAAAGGGTTTGACAAGGGCAAAACCCATGAGCATTGATTGTATTAAATACTCCAAACCATCGATAAGACAAACTACACTGAAGGGTAATTGTGTCACAAACTTGTCACCAGAGCCCACTGATGAAATTACCAGCTGTTAAGTGCAGTTGAGAGTTCATTATTCGTTCTGTTTAGGGGATTTCTATTTAAACTGTGTACACAGCAGGAAAACCTTTGAGTCATGTGAATCCTAATAATATATTTAATTTTGTCATTCTTTAGTGGCCTTGTCAAGCTGTGGAGTGCTCTAACACTGCTGGGCTCCTACCAGAACAGGAAGTGTGCTTTTAGAGTGATACAGGTAAAGTCCTGGGGAACTCTGGGACCTGCCCCTGAATGTTAGTGCTCTTTAGGGTTACTCGGCCTACTCAAGTACACAAAACCTCTTAATAGAGACATGGTTTACTTGTGTAAAAACTGATCAGTTTTTAGAGTTAAATACCCTTAAAGATAGGTGTGAAACAGATTGGTGAGAGATTAAATCAGTCTGTTTTATAATTACTGAAATTCAGTCAACTTAAATTGTCATGTCCATGTCTCTCTTTGTATGGTGCTTGTAACAATCGCCTGTTGTCATATCTGGGGTTGTCTGAGAGGAAGTAGATGCTGGGAATCCTCTTTCCTTTTGGGGGCCCACATAGATGCAATCTTGTAAAACTAGACTCTTGTGTCTGAGTTTCATCACTTTATATATTTACTACAATGAGGTCAGGTCTGATCTCATTAACAGATTTTTGAGGAAACTAATTTCCATGACAGTTTGTCTTTGGCCCACATCTGGATGAAACTTGTATTGTTTTTCCCCCACTGTCAGTCACCCACTTGAAACGCCATTGTACTTGAACTCCAGAGCCCAATGCTTGTTCCTTTTGAAATGCTTCACTTCATTCTGCCATGTAACTTTCAGTAACCTGAGTCTGGGAGCTGGAATTGGTCTCCAAGGGGATAGTTGAATAACATGGTTGGCTTAAGTTGCTCTAATTTTGCTTTGTGGGGTTTTTTTGTTGTTGTTGTTTGTATCTTGTCTGCTGGAAACTGTTTGGTATGTGTGATGTTTTCATAATGCGTCTCTTTTTTTCTCACCAGACCTCTCCATTTCTCCTTGCGTTATCTGGGAACAGTAGAGAACTCATATTGGATTGAATACACAGGAGACAAGGTTGGGCTGTAAGAAGCAGAAGTTGCTCAAGATGTTGGCAGTACTCAGACCTAGAATTTTTGGTGGAGATTTCAAAAGAACCATCCTAACAAAACCAAACATTGCCAGCTCATTGCGTAAATCTCCCTCTCTTCAGTATTTACATATACAAGTTGGAGACAAGGCTGAACTTACTAAAGCCTTCACACAGAAGGATGTTGTTTGTTTTGCTGACTTAACTGGGGACACAAACCCGTTGCATTTGAATGAAAACTATGCAAAGGAAACTAGGTTTGGGAGAACAATTGTACATGGAGTTTTGATCAACGGACTTATTTCTGCAGTTATAGGTACTAAAATGCCTGGCTATGGTTGTGTGTTTCTTTCTCAGGAAATTCACTTCCCAGCTCCCTTGTACATTGGAGAAGAAGTCTTAGCTGCAGCAGAAGTGAAGAGACTGAAAAGATCTGTTGCATACATTTCAGTATCATGTACTGTTAGGGAAAGTGAAAAGATTGTTATGGAAGGGATGGTGAAAGTCATGGTGTCGGAAAGTCAGCGCTCCTGATTGCATGGTGCTTTATTCTTTAGTAAAATTCAGAAATATGTGGGGGGGTTACATTTATGATACCTCAGACCTTGGTAAGAGGAGGTCACAGCTTGCTGTCAATTTTGAGAGCTACTCTGCTTTGTAGGTAAGAGATGTAAAACATCACTTTTGATGGCTTTTAAGGACACATGAAGATCAATATGATCCATACTTAACTTACATCTATTACTATCATGTGCAGCCAAGCCTATTCTCTTTCCTAGCTCAACTTTTTGTCACCAAAATAAACACTACTGTTTACTGGAACCTTTTAAAAAGGAACGTTTACATCACGTAATGTTCTGGAGTTGGTCAAGAGACTCCTGTCACCTGACTAGTAAACGTTGAGCCAAGATATTTGTCACAGATAAATGAATAGAGTATTCTCTTGGTTCCTTTTTACCAGTGCACAGTATGTGCCACTTTTCACATATCTAATATGTTGAGTTTTGAACTCTTACTTGGTTTGAGGTTCTAGGTATATCAAAGGGCCACATCTCCCACCCCCTTACTTATATGAATTCAGTTAATTGAAGTCCAAGGGACTATGTGGGTGAATAAAGCAAGCAGAATTTGGTTGATATTAACACATGCACATGTCATCTTCTCCCCTGACTTACAAGAATAAAAAGCTTTTTATTCAAACGCTGCCTTTATTAGGGAGCTCTGATGTTTCTTTCATAAATTAATGCATTGTTCCATTTAATTTTTAAGCGAAAGGACTCATTTGATTTAAGGCTGTCATTATGCCCTACAAAAATAGTCTGTGTAAAGGTCTTGGATAACATCTGACTACTGCGGAACTACAAACTAAATGTCATGGTGCAACCTGTCACAGATATAGGAACTCTTAAAACTAAATTATAGGGAACTTTACATACGTGTGGCTACATGAGCTAAACCCTTTATAGTCCAGGATTGCTTATTGCTTTGGAAAGAGGATAGCTAGAAGGAAGTGTTCTTTCAGACAACACACAGAGCCAAATGTGCAGGAGAGACAGAGTCATAGTTTGAGCAGATCAGAATAAATGAGGTGGCTGCTGTAAACCTTAAATTTACTTGGCAAGGTACTTATCTGGCCCCTGGTACCATAGTGTTTGAGCAGCCTCTTAAATTTCAAGGAACCAAGACCTGTGAGGTAGGGAAGTGCTATTATCCCCATTTTTCAGATGGGGAAGTAAGGCCCAAAGATAGTAGGGGACAGATTTTTTTAAGGTATTTAGACATTTAAAGCTGCAGGTAGGCACCTAGTGGGGTTTTCCATGGTGCCTATCTGCATCTTTTGATGTGTAATACCTTTAAAAAAACTGGCTGTGATGTGCAAAAGGTCACATGGGACATTTGCAGGGAATTAGCCTGGGACTTTGGAGACCCCAGATTTAACACCCTAACACTGGGCTGTCCTACTTAGCTAAGTCTGACGCCATTCTCAGAGCTGCAGAAATCACAGCAATGTAAGCTAGAGCAATGTGCTGTGGATCTGATGGCAGAGTTTGGCTCATAACATACTCTGTGGATATAATGGATAGTCAAAGTACACTAGGTTGACTTCTGGTTTAGTACTGGAGTTCCTTTTCTCTCTTAGACTCATTCCAGGTCTGTATATGATATCTATATATACTAAATCTCTAGGCATGCTTACATTAAGAATGGTTTCAGAGTAACAGCCATGTTAGTCTGTATTCGCAAAAAGAAAAGGAGTACTTGTGGCACCTTAGAGACTAACCTATGCTCAAATAAATTGGTTAGTCTCTAAGGTGCCACAAGTACTCCTTTTCTTTTTACATTAAGAATGATACATTGTGAATAACATAACTGCTAGCCAGAGCTGAGGGGAGAGACGAACAAAGCAAACATCCATTCTTGGGCTTTGGACTCCGTGTGAGCTTGTTGGACCAAGGGAACAACAACTGCCAGAATCAAGAGCTTTCTACTGACCAAGCCTACGTCCTACTGTACAAATCTGGGGTCTGTCATCTTGAGTGTAGCAGCTGTCTTCTGTGAGGATGTGGCAACCTTTAGACTTGTCCCATAAAGGGCTTTGTAGATCAAAATTACAGTAGATTTTTTTAAGCACAATAATACATCAATCTAGCTTTCCAAGCTGAAGCAAATCTTTGATCTACGCTTCTGAGTTTTAAATCTAAAACTCAGAAGAATGGTCATGTTTAAACAGCACAGTTCTGTGTTCAAATGGCAATAGACTGAAAAATTGGTGACTGCAAAATGTGGTAGTTTAAGGACAGCAAGAACCCTTAATGTACATCTGGTTCTTTTAAAAGTTTTTAAAGGCATCCAAGACCTTTTAAACTGCACCCTACAGACAATATTGTGAACAAGGTAAAAGTAAGAGGTAGCTGCACAATCAGAGACTATATAAGATGAAATAAGAAGTAAAATAAGTGTTTGTTTGTGGGCAAGTGTTGTCAGTTTAATTTCTTGACTTTTAAGCAGATCTCTGTAAACTGCTGTTGATACAACTAAAAAGAAAATGGCAGGAAGCAGGGTCCCTAGAAGGAAGACTTTTTCACTGTTCAGCAGCTAGAGAAAAAGCAGATATGTTGGCTGTGAAACTTGCTGCTGAGTTAATAGTGTAAAGAAGTCAAATCTCAAACCCCACTGATTATTCTCTTACGATAGCTCAGACTTTTTAAAACTTCTCTATAACACACTTTTATTTTTGTCTTGTGACAGATTGTCATCTCTGGTGATCTGTTTGAAAACAAGAGACAAATTAAAAAGAGAAGAGGGCTCATCAACCAGCTGGTAGTTCTTCCTGTGTGCTACACCCAAGCAATAATTAGCACTCTACATCAGCATTGTTTTGCATCAGATCCTTTTAATAGCTCTTTCAGCTTCTGGGTAGGGCTCATATACATAAGCATATTCTGAGACTGCTTAAAATAAAATTGGTAGCTGATAATGTTGACATTGAAGCTTGTAACTGATGCTGTAGCATACCATCACATTCAGCTCCTCCAACTCCTTTCATCATGGTGGTCTTGCTTCAGAGCTTACGGGAATCTGAGGGCACCGACAACAATTACAACTCACCGTCTCTGCTGTGGAGAAGAGCTTAAAAATTAGGCTTTCAACAATAATACCTTAAAAACCTAACTTTTAAGTGTAGCCTAAGGCTTACTTATTTCAATCATACAAATAAGCTGTGCTTAAAAGTTAATTCAACATAGTTACAGCAGTCAGGGTGTGTGAAAATGCACGCCCTTGACTGACAGAGCTATGTCAACCGAACCCTCAGTGTAAATGCAGCTATGTTGATGGAAGAACACTTTTGCTGATGTAGCTGACTTTGTTCAGAAAGGTGATGTTCCTAAACGCATGGAAAAAACCCTTCCATTGGTGTAGGCTGCATTTACGCTATGGGGTTATGACACCTTAACTACATGGACATAGCTACGCCAATGTAGTCTCTGTAGTATAGATACAGACTATGCTCTGGAAAACCAGTGCAGACTAAAAATCATTTATATTATGGGCTTGTTGGGAGGAAATACTGCCAGAGCTCCAAGGCCTTTAAAAGTAAATGAAAATCCAGATTAATTACAGTACATAGGGGTCAGAGGAACAGCCGTGTTAGTCTGTATTCGACTCTGTGTGTCAGGACAGTGGGGTGGGAGGAGGTATTGTTTCATATTCTCTGTGTGTCAGGACAGTGGGGTGGGAGGAGGTATTGTTTCATATTCTCTGTGTGTCGGGACAGTGGGGTGGGAGGAGGTATTGTTTCATATTCTCTGTGTGTATATAAAGTCTGCTGCAGTTTCCACGGTATACATCTGATGAAGTGAGCTGTAGCTCACGAAAGCTCATGCTCAAATAAATTGGTTAGTCTCTAAGGTGCCACAAGTACTCCTTTTCTTTTTGCGAGTACATAGGGGGAGGCCTTAAAGAACTCCCAACAGGAGAATACAGAGAAAGCACTACTTTCATTGTTGCGTTACCTGACACCAGAGACGCTGAAAGAATTCTGGTGGTAGCTCCAGACAGAAGTCTGATCTACAAAGGCTTCTGATAGTCCCAGACCTCCGCTAGGCAATACTGTTGCTATGGAAAGAATTTACGGTAATTCAGACAGACTTCACACGTAAGGCTATGTTCTGCAAAAGTGGAAGATCTGTACAATTGAGGGTCCTGTGTTATTTCAAAGATGTTCTTTTGGCAAACAAACAAACTGGGGAAAATCAAACTAAACAACTGATGGCAAAGTTGAGTTCAAATTGGCTCTTTCATTCCTTATGGAGTAGCTGTATGAAGTCTTGTGTTTTAAAAAAAGAGTTGCCTGTTTTTCTCTGTCATTGAGACCATAACTTCTGTGACAGCTCAATGTGCAAATGCTCTAATTTTCTTATGGCCCTGTGAGTGAACCATTATTAAACGTCCATATAATCCAACGTAGTGCCAGACCGTTTGTATTCCCTTAATCAGTGTTTGTACTTTAGCAAAGTGATTTATTTCTGACAAATACTGACTTATCATCTTATTTCTCAGGTAGGTGGATAATGACATGTATCAGGATCACAGAATAACAGGACTGGAAGGGACCTCAAGAGGTCACCTAGTTCAGTCCCCTGCACTAGTGGCAGGACTAAGTATTATCTACAGCATCCTTGACAGGTGTTTGTCTCACCTGCTCTTAAACTCCAATGATGAAGATTCCACAACCTCCCTAGGCAATTTATTCCAGTGCTTAACCACCCTGACAGGTAGGAAGTTTTTCCTAATGTCCAACCTAAACCTCCCTTGCTGCAATTTAAGCCCATTGCTTCTTGTCCTATCCTCAGAGGTTAAGAATAAAAAATTTTCTTCCTCCTCCTTGTAACAACCTTTTACATAGTTGAAAACTGTTATGTCCCCTCTCAGTCTTCTCTTTTCCAGACTAAACAAACCCAGTTTTTTCAATCTTCCCTTACAGTCCTGTTCTCTGGACCTTCAATAATTTTTGTCGCTCTTCTCTGGACTCTCTCCAATTTGTCCACATCCTTCCTGAAATGTGGTGCCCAGAACTGGACACAATACTCCAGTTGAGGCCTAATCAGCACAGAGTAGAGCAAAGGAATTACTTCTCGTGTCTTGCTTACAACACTCCTGCTAATACATCTCAGAAGGATGTTTGCTTTCTTTGAGGTCCACATCTACTAATGTTTTACTCCACATGCTCATTACACTCATTCTATAACAGTGAAATTCATCTCTGTGCAGAGGGACAGAACAAGACCTGTGCACGTCTAAGCCTTGTTTTTAAGGTCTTATGTGGGACTCAAGTGGTGCATAGGTCTTGGCCTGACCAGCTGTATAGGACTGAATTTACTGTATATGCATAAAGAGATCTTCCTCTGAGTATATTAGAGATGTTCAATAATTTTATTCTTCTTTCCTACTTCTGACTCTATGTTCCTCTACCATGCTCACCCATGCCAAAAAATACCCCAACACATCCCAAAGTAGTGGATGAGCTGTTTTGATAGTGGATTCATGAGAGCTCCTGGACCGTTCCCCCCTCCCCCCTCAAGAATTCAGATGACTTGTGTGTAAACATTACTGTTATCCTCTAGCCATGATTATTTCACCTATTTCAGTGACAAGTAAACACCAATGGCAAAGGACAACTGCTATAAGTTTAACCCGCAGCCGTGCTGAGGGGAAGGATGCTGATACACACTGCGTGATTAATAAGCAGGATTTCCTCACATGATCGACTTCATCACTTCCAGTTGGTATTGATGCAATAGGCTATTTCCCAAATGTCCTCACTACCTTTGCCCTTTGTAACTTTGTATATAGTGCTGATCACAATCAGCCTCTATGCTAAGCTGAGGAGAGTAAATTATTGGTCTAGAGATGGGGTTTGAAGGTATTAATAAGTAAAATGCATATTGTCTTACAAAAGCTAATTGTAAACAAACAAATGACACTCAATGGTGGAATCTGTCTATTAGAACTGGAGGGAGGTGGGTTAGGGAAGGTATCAATAGAGGGCCTGTTTGTCTTCAGCCTTGTTTCTTGCCGATTGTCCATAGTGTTTAGGTAGCCTTTTACACCCATGTCATGCAGGTATAAATGACTAGGCAAGGTGCAAAGTAGTGGAGAATCAGGTCCTTAAGGTTTTCTCTATCAGAGATTAATTTATGTTGCTAAACATTGTTTTCTCATCCTAAATTGATTGAAATGTGCCTTGGGTCCAGACCCACCAAGTCTTTGGTTGGTTACTAGTGGTGCTAAGCAAGGTTTCAAACAGATTAGGCTTTTGGGGAGTAAAAAAACAACTGAGCCTGAAGCATTCTAGCCTCCATTGCTTCTTTGCCGGCATGATTAGCGATGCTGCCATGAACCTTTAAAAATTACCTACCAGCACTGGTGCAATGGAGAGTGTCAGGAGAAGAACTACCAGCCCTTCTCCTCAGCTGGTGAATTTTATATAGTTTGCTGGCCAAAAGTCCTCCGTCCCTGCCCATTATGCTATCTATGCTTTCCATAGTATCTCCCACCTCCTTGGAAATACATTTATTCACAATTAATGTAATTCATTTTGGTGACTATCACCAACCTCAGAATGTTTTTTATTTTTCACTGTATAAATGCTTCTCCCCAGGCAGTTTAGCAAAATCCCCATGATGGTCACATATTCTGAAGGATAGATTGTCCAGATATGTTTGTGTATATTGTGAAGCGAATGGTGTTTTGTCCTTACCAAGCCGCACTGTAATGCAAAGGTAAACAAAATGAGTTTAACAAAGGAACGAGGGCTGTAATCTGGCTCCTCAAAACTGGAGGAGGTTGGATGGGGGCAGGTGGGGGTGGACAAAGCCTTTTGTGTATTCAGCGTGATCTCATCTCAGGGGAAATGTTGAAGTTGCTTCATCTCTGCGGCAGGGGGTTTAGCCTGGCCACTCCTGCCACAGAACCAGCACTGACTGCCCATGACGTTCAGTTTCTTTTCCTCCGTTTGAGGCGCTTCATTTGGTTTCTTTTCTATTATCACCTTGGGCCTAACACAGCCAGTTGCTGAGCCTCCTTAACTCCCAGTGAGGAGTCAAGTACACTCAGGACCTCTCAGGATCAGGCCTTCTCTGTATAACCTTGGGGAAGATTTTCAAAGGCACCCAACTCCAATTTTCCTTTTGACTTTAATTCCTTTTCCTTCTGCCTCCCTTGGTGTGCAATTCTGTGTCCATTTGTTATCATGGGTCAAGTTGCGGGGGGGGGGGGGGGGTTGTTGGGTCAGAGTGGTGGCATTGGAACAGTTTTTATAGTGGGGGTGGGTGAAAGCCGTTGAACAAAACTGTAAACCCTGGATATGTTGGAAACCACTTCAAGCTAGGCAGTGCTGCTGCACCCCCAGCATTCCTAGTTCCAGCACCCCTGGCTGACAAACAGTGGGTAGTAGTTTGGGGCAGTTACCAAATCTAAATCCAGATGTTGATCGCCATAAACTGTAGGGAGTCTGGGAGCAAAACAGGTGTCTCTGAAGCTAGGGTAATGGAGGGCCCTGGGCATGGGATGAAGTGGGCTTGTTCCCTGTGGATCTGGGGTTATAAATAGCAGGAAGAGAGGGGACCATTGTTGGGGTCAAGTTGGACAATGGGAGAGAGTAGGAAGGGAGCAGTGCTGCTTCAAATCATAGCATGGTGGTGATTATTCTAAGACTATGAAGAATGCAATAACTCTACAGCCACACCTATTCATTGGGTTTTAAATTAGATTGCAAACTCTTGGGAAGATGGATGGATCATATCCCTCACTGTGTTTGTACAGTGCCTGGCAGAATGGGGTCGCAATCCTAAGTGGAACTTTTGAATGCCACTGAAATCAAATAATAAATCATTTTGATGCAGCACCCTACCTAAGGTGGGGTAGTTCAGTTTGGAGCTTTAAACCTTTATAAGAAATCTCACTGCGATGGCAAAAACCAAAACTCAGAATATAAACTCTGAGTGCAGTTTGGATTTTTTTGTGGTAGTTTGATTAAAAATAATTTGTTACAGAAAGAATAAATAGAATTGAAAACCCCCCTCCCACCCCTTCTAGCAACTTCTCCCTGGATTGTCGCTTTTCTTTGTACCCCTTTTGCAAAAAATCTCCAACATTTTGGGACCTGTCCTTTCTCACAGAGTTGCTCCTCGTGCAGATTCCTACAAAAGCAGTTCTACACAAGTAAATGACCTCAATAGCGTTAAGGCGGAATAACTTACCAAATGCATGGACTGGGTGCCAGCTAGGTCTGCTGACCTGTTGCTCTCCTAGCAGGAGATCAGTGCTCAGGCCCTGGGGTAGAGTGCAAGCTGTTTGCAATTGGGTACATACTGTGTGGCTGGGTGTGGTGGGGTCCCTGAGGTGAGCCCCCCTGGGCTGTGCTGGGTCCCCTGGCTGGGTGTGGGGGGGAGGGGGCGGGCCTGGCTGTGGTGGGTGTCCTGGCAGGCTGTGGGGTGGGGGCGAGGTGAGCGCCCCCCCCCGGCTGTCAGTTTCCTGGCTGGGTGTGGTGGGGCAGGGGGGCCGGGATCAGCGTGGGCCTTGGGCTGTCAGTCTCCTGGCTCGGTGTGGTGGGGAGGCTGAGGTAAGCACCCCCCCGGGCTACGGTGGGGCCCCTGAGGAGAGCCTCCTCCCCCGGGGCTGGCGCCCCCCCCCGGGGGGGGGGGCCCCGGACTGGGTGTCGCGGGGGGGGCGGGGTCCGGGTGAGGCGCCCCCCCGGGCTGGGTGTCCCCCGCGGGGGGGTGCGCGGGGTCTGGGTGAGGCGGGGGGGGGGCGCCCCCCCGGGCTGGGTGTCGCGGGGGGGGTCCGGGCGAGCGGCCCCCCCGGGCTGGGTGTCGCAGGGGGGGTCCGGGCGAGCGGCCCCCCCGGGCTGGGTGTCGCGGGGGGGGTCCGGGCGAGCGGCCCCCCCGGGCTGGGTGTCGCGGGGGGGGTCCGGGCGAGCGGCCCCCCCGGGCTGGGTGTCGCAGGGGGGGTCCGGGCGAGCGGCCCCCCGGGCTGGGTGTCGCGGGGGGGGGTCGGGCGAGCGGCCCCCGGGCTGGGTGTCGCGGGGGGGGTCCGGGCGAGCGGCCCCCCGGGCTGGGTGTCGAGGGGGGTCCGGGCGAGCGGCCCCCCCGGGCTGGGTGCCGGCTCTGGTGGCCTGACGGCAGTTCCGGGAAACGCGGCCGGGCTGCGCGCGGGGCGGGCGGCCTCGGGCTTTAAGACCCGGCGGCGCCCGGCGCCTCCCCCGTGTTGACAGCGGCGGGCGCGGCGCGAGCGCTGCTGCGCGAGGCAGGTCGGCGGCGCGGGCTCGGCGCTCGGCTCCCGGCTCCCGGCGCGGCGCGGCGCGGCCCGGCCCGGCATGGCCTTCCTGGAGAAGCCGCCGGCGGGCAAGGTGCTGCTGGACGACACGGTGCCGCTGACAGCCGGGATCGAGGCGAGCCAGAGCCTGCACTCGCACACGGTGAGCGCCGGGCCGTGTGTGTGTGTGTCGGGGGGGAGCTGGGGTGTGGGGGTGTTTGTGTGGGGGGGGGTGCATTGGGGGGGGAGTTGGGATAGGGGGAGTGTCGGGGAGGGAGCCGGGGTGGGATGTGTGTGTGTGTGTGTTGGGGGGGAGCCGGGGTGGGATGTGTGTGTGGGGGGGAGGGGTGTGTCGGGGGGGAGCCGGGGTGGGATGTGTGTGTGGGGGGAGGGGTGTGTCGGGGGGAGCCGGGGTGGGGTGTGTGGGGGGGGGAGGGGTGTGTCGGGGGGAGCCGGGGTGGGGTGTGTGTGTGGGGGGGGAGGGGTGTGTCGGGGGGAGCCGGGGTGGGGTGTGTGTGTGTGGGGGGGGGGGGTTTGTCGGGGAGGGAGCCGGGGTGGGATGTGTGTGTCGGGGGGGGAGCCGGGGTGGGATGTGTGTGTGGGGGGGGGTGTCGGGGGGGGAGCCGTGTGTGTGTGTCAGGGGGAGCTGGGGTGGGGAGGGTATCGGGGGGAGCTGGGGTGTGGGGGGTGTTTGTGTGGGGGGGTGTGCATTGGGGGGAGCTGGGATAGGGGGAGTGTCGGGGAGGGAGCCGGGGTGGGATGTGTGTGTGTGGGGGGGGGGTGTCGGGGGGAGCCGGGGTGGGGTGTGTGTGTGGGGGGGGGTGTGTCGGGGGGGGGCCGGGGTGGGATGTGTGTGTGAGTGGGGGGTGTCGGGGGGGGGGGGAGCCGTGTGTGTGTGTCAGGGGGAGCTGGGGTGGGGAGGGTATCGGGGGGAGCTGGGGTATGGGGGTGTTTGTGTGGGGGGTGTGCGTTGGGGGGGGCTGGGATAGGGGGAGTGTCGGGGAGGGAGCCGGGGTGGGATGTGTGTGTGTGTGTGTGGGAGCCGGGGTGGGATGTGTGTGTGTGGGGGGGGGGTGGGGGGGAGGGGGTGTGTCGGGGGGGAGCCGGGGTGGGATGTGTGTGTGTGGGGGGAGGGGTGTGTCGGGGGGGGAGCCGGGGTGGGATATGTGTGTGGGGGGAGGGGTGTGTCGGGGGGGGAGCCGGGGTGGGATGTGTGTGTGTGGGGGAGGGGTGTGTCGGGGGGGGGAGCCGGGGTGGGATATGTGTGTGGGGGGGGAGGGGTGTGTCGGGGGGGGGAGCCGGGGTGGGATGTGTGTGTGGAGGGGTGTGTGTGTCAGGGTGGGGAGCCGGGGGTGTGTCGGGGGGAGCCCTGTGGGTGGGGGGAGGGAGTTTGAGACCTGGGGTATTAGGGTTGGGTGGGAAGAAGCCCCAGGGCAGCTCGCTGGGTTGCTCTGATGGCTCTGTCGCTGGGTTTTGTCTCCTGGCTTTATACAGTGAGTCCCGTGCTGTGCAGCCCCTTCCCTTCTTCTTTGCTTGATGGATCTGCTCTATGCCATGTGCCATAACTGTACTTCTTGTTACTGTTGGTTACCTGTATTGTGCTGGTCAATAACGTCACAATGCAAATGCACCCTCTTCTTTGGGCTTGTACACACTACCGCTTGTGTCGGTACAACTGGTGTCACTCCGGTGGGAATAAGCCACCCCCCTGAGCAATGTAAGTTACAACGACTTAAGCAGGGGTGTGGGCAGCACTCTGGCAGACATAGCTACTGCCTCTCACTGAGGTGGTTGTTATGGCGATGGGAGAGAGCTCTGTCCCATTGGCACATCTTCACCAGATGCACGACCCTGTCACAGCTGCACCAACGTAGCTGTGTCACTGTAGCACTTCTAGTGTAGACTAGCCCTTACCCAGACCATCTCCCGCTGTGTCTGCACAGTTATGCCTGCTTACTCTAGTGCCAAAGTAAGATTTTAACATTTCTTTGCTTACGTTAGCCTGGCTGATCCATCTCAATGATGGGAGTGGAGCTGGATTCTAATGTAAGTGACAACATAGGGTTAAATTCTGCCCACACTTCCATCTGTGCAACTCCAGTGAAGACAATGAGGCTGCGCAGGTGTAACTGAGGGCAGAATGTAGCACTCAGATTATGACAAGGGGTGATTATGATGCTTCGCCAGAAAGAACCCAGTTTGACTTTCAGGTGCCAGGCTCATTTTCCTGTGATGTATTTACACCTGACACCATTTTCTTAAAAACTGAGCAGACTTTGTCTGGGGTCACTGATACCCAAGAACAACAGAATTCCATAATGCTATTTTTATAGGCCCTTTCTGGGAGTATAACTGCACTTTTAAAAACTGTGTTTACCATGGTATTATCAAGCAGTACCAAGGTACAGAATCAGAGAAAAGGAGACCTGTAATCACGTTTCAGAGCTTTACCCACTTAGCAGGGAATGGGGTTGTAAGAGATAAGGCCAGGTGTACTTCCACAGCAGCAGGTGCATTGGTAAGAGACTTTGTTTTGAACATTAAGGGGTGTGTCCTTCAGCCTCACTCATTGTTTAGGGGCATGCATATCATGACAGCAGGCTTCTGACTTATTCCTTGTGTCTGGTGAATGTTGTAACATGAAAGATGGTAGAGGTAGATAGTGCTATATTTATAGTTAATAAGCATGCTATGCCATCAAAATTGTAACAGTACAAATAATCTGTGCTTCTGCAATGCTTTCTGTTCGAGGATCTCAGATTAGTAGTTTAATGAACTAACTTTTGTAAAACAATCTCCCTCTGAACACAGGCTTCTAAAACTATGAGGAATCTTTTAGAAGGCATCAGTGAGTTTAGAAGTTGTGACTAGTGGTTTACAAGCCCAGGGCTCTACATTCTGAGCTGTGGTCAAACTTGCATTATAACCAAAGCTATGTTAGGCATACTTTCTGACAAACCCTTTACCTGTGTCTTAATAAACTGAGATGTGTAACTGTGTTTAGTTATTGAGTGATTATCGTATATAATTTGTTTCCCTGTGCTACCAAGCCAGATTCTAGTTTCATTGTGAGTGGTTTCCCCCTCCCACCGTTTAACTGTTTTCAACACCATTTATTACAATCACTTACAAGTACAAAGATAACAATAGGTTTTTGTGTCTTTTGGTTTGTTGGTTTTTTTGGTTGATTCTCTAGCAGGAATTGACTTAAAAAAAAACGCGAAGAGTTCTGTTGTACAGAAAGCACTTAAAAGCAGTTTTCTATCCCAAATACTCTGTGTGATGCGACTTCCATGTGTGGGATTTCAGTAGCAAGTATTGTGACCCTTTGATCATTTGTCTTTGTACTTCCGTGTTGTTAATTCACACTGAGGAAGATTCTAATAGTAATTAATTCTGCTCTTCACCAGAAATGCACAAAAGATCAGAATGCAGTAGCACTGTGCTTTTGATTTAAAAGTCGTTTTGGGTGCATGTATTTCTAATAGCTTTTATGGCAGAAGGACTGTCGTTAAGAATTAAAATAAAATGGTATTGAGGTGTACATAGCACAGATAGTTTACATAGAGGCAGCGTGGGGTAATGGTTAAAACAAAATAGCAGGCACCCCAGCAGTCTGGATTTCCTATTTGACGTAAAGCTACTTCCCTGTCATCTCGCATATCTGACCTTATCCCCTCATTTCTGAGCTGGGAAACTGGGTGAGAGCAGGAAGTAACTGATATATAGCGCATCTGATTTGAACTTCTGTGGGGAAAATAAATTATAGTAACAGATCCCAAGTGTAGCGGTAGGATTCCCTCCCAGAAGAGGCACTTGCCAAGACATCTTGGGGGGAGGAATAGTTTCATTTTACTGTATTCCTGACATAATGAAGACACAGGGTGGTGGTGATGTTTTATTAATAGGAAGACTGAATGAAATAGGAAGACTAAATGAAAACCCCTTCAGGCTTTCAAAGGAAAGGCCCCAAAAGGAAGAAATCCTGGCTATAAATGTGTTTATCCTGTACAAATACATGGAGAGCAGAAGCTTCATAAATTAGCATTGTCCTATAGCAGATACGAAAAGGGGACTACAAATAAACCTGTTGTTCATTTGCCAGTGATATATTCTATCCATAATTTAAGGGGATGTGGCCATGTTAAAAATAATATTAACAGTTAAAATCCTTATCTGTGATACTGATAGCATCTAAGATTATTAAAGCAGAAAATGTGAAAAATCTGATTTTTTTTTTTTAAATCTTGCATATGTGTTGGTTTGAACAATGAAAATAGATTGTTTCCTCTTTTGAATCTGAAACTACTAAGTCGCCTAGTGCTATGTCGTCATAGGTGGGCTGCAAACGCTGCGGGGATTGCTTAAAAACTTTCCATTGGATTTATCAAAAATGAAACACCCTCTTCCATAGCTCTTACAAACCAAGATCTGAGTCCAGATTTGATTTAATGTAATTTAATATGACATCCAGGCTAGGAATACTCTGTAAAGTTGTTATAGGCTCCAGAAATAGTCAGAGTTTTGAATAAACCAGTGACTACAAGATAAGGGGGACGAATTGCAGGGGAAAAAAATCTCTAAACATGGTAAAATACGAAATTCAAGACAAAAATTAGTGATGGGGATACTTAAAATGGACTATTCTAGTGGATTAGCCTGCTTCTTATTCAAATTAGGTCAAATACAACAGTTTGGATAGTATGACATTAAAATATTGGGGAAATGTAAATTTAATGTCATTGAATAAAATTCTACATTTGGCAGCAGACTGATTCCTATTTCTTGTAGATGAGGAGGAAACTTCAGCATGAATAACCCACTACATATGTTTGCATTAGTCAGAAACCGAAGAGGGAATGAAATTGGTATTTGAAATATCGGACAAAAGTTTGCAGTTCATGGTAATAAATGTAACTCTCTCACTTGACAGAGAACACACACAAACCTCTTAAACTTGTACCAAGTGTTATTGTCTGTCAGAAAAATAGCTATAAAATCACTATAGAAATGACTCACTCAGCAGACTGGCTCACCGTGTATCATAGAGTAGATGCAGTTCAGTGTCAGGTAGCACTGTGGAGCCAGTACGTATGTCGGGTTCCGTTCAGCTTCATGCTGCAGCAACAAAACTGTCGGCTGACTTTTGATTTTTGAATCTTT